TGCAAAAAAAAAAAAAGAAGAAAGAAACAGAAATGGAATTAAAACTTTTTTTTTGGCTGTTTTTATTAACTATTATTAGAGGTCAACTGAAAAACTTTCAATATTCAGGAACTAATATGCAATTTTCAAAAACTATCAAGGACTACCCTGAAAATATTATTAAATTAAAATAATATTTTTTTATAACTATTCATAGAAGTCTATTACAGTTGTAAATTTTTTTTTTAATTTTATTTAATTTTTTGAAACTGTAATTTCTATTATAAAATTTAATTGCAAGTTAATATTTTGGTATATGACGTTAATATGCTGGTATATGATGTTAATATGCTGGTATATGATGTTAATATGCTGATATATGACATTAATATGCTGATATATGATGTTAATATGCTGATGTGGTTAGTAGTCTTGCTTTGCTTTAAACTCATTTATTTTGAATCAACTTCTTCATCTGGTATTAAGTTTTGTTTGTTATTAATGAAATTTTATCTTTGTTTGTTAGTTCACTAACAAAATATCTTCTGTGTTCTCCTCTTGCTGGTTCTGTGTGCTAATGCTTCAATTAAACCCTTTTTTCAAATTTGAATGAGGTTATCTTTAGTTCTTTTTAGTGAAATTTAAGTATAATGGTTCATTGTTCTTTTTAAGTAAGATGTTTATTGTGTAGGTAATCTTTGTAGTTCTTTTTTGAATTTTCACTTTAATATCACTCTTTAAATATGGATTTCACACTGGTACTAAAAATTCACACATAATAAAAATTCTCACTCTGATATGCATACTTACTTAATTTTTCTTTTGGCAATATTAAATATTTATTATAGAGAATATTTTTCTTGAGGCAATATTAAATGTTTATTATAGAGAATATTTTTCTTCAGGCAATATTAAATGTTTATTATAGAGAATATTTTTCTTCAGGCAATAACAGATGTATATTATGGAGCTCCTGATTTTTTTTATGAAGTTGGTTTCAGACTTGTAGGAGCACCATCCTTCACTGTTAATCAAATAAGAGATTTAAATGTAACAGAATTTCAGATCCCAACACCTGGAATTAATAAGGAATATGAGTTTTATGTTCAGTCTAAAAATAGTCTTGGAGAAGGACCTCCCTATAAAACAGTTACAGCATTTTCAGGAAAAGAGCGTAAGTGTTTTTTTTTTTTTTAATTTGACTTTAATTATTTAATTTAAAATACTTTCTTATAACCTGAAAGCCATCATTGATAAAAATATTTTATAAAATGAAAATAATTCTAAAAAATTTTAAAAAAAAATAAAGATAATTTTATGACATCAAAATCGCATTAAGCTAATGCATTAAGCACTTTTTTATTTAAAACAAGGGCTGCATACACAATATATTGGCATTCCTCTAAGAATGTACCTGATAAACAATATATTGGCATAACAGAGGGTGAATGTAAAAGATGTTTTGCCAATCGTAAGCAGTCTTTAAAAAATAAAAAGTATTCAAAAGACACCATGCTGTCAAAATATATATGGGAACTAAAGGAACTAAAAGGTAAAAATGTTGATGATTTTACACTGAATTGGTCCATCCTTAAAACAGCGCCTGCATACAACAATATTTCCAAAAAATGCATACTATGTCTACAAGAAAAAATTCAAATAATTACACATGCAAACCAAGAATGTTTGTTAAACAAAAAATCGGAATTGATTTCTAAATGCAGTCACGAAAATAAGTTTCTGCTAAAAAACTATAAAAATAAGTGAGCTCAAATAATAGTTACATTTAATCCCCCCTTTTTTAAAAATATTTTTATAAAAAAAAAGCCTAAGTAATCATTTCTAAAATGAAAAAAAAATTTTGTTAAGTGATTTTCTACTAATTTATATTGATATATTATATATTATATATTATATATTATATATTATATATATATATATTATATATATATATATATATATATATATATATATATATATATATATATATATATATATATATATATATATGTATATATATATATTGATATATATATATATATATATATATATATATATATATATATTGATATATATATATATATATATATATATATATATATATATATATATATATTGATATATATATATATATATATATATATATATATATATATATATATATATATATATATATATATATATATATATATATATATATATATATATTGATATATTTTAAATGTAATATATAATAAATTATTTTGTAAATAAACTTTATTTCTATTCTGCAGCTCCATTATTACCTCCAAAGAATTTTAAAGTTGCTTCAATAACTCGACATATTATTGACTTTACTTGGACAAAAGCTGACAATGCAGAAGGTTATAGGGTGAGTACTTAAAAATAGTTAAAGTTAATTTGAAAAAGTATTTAAAATAAGTTAAATTAATATTTTTTATTACAAAATATTGTTTAGCTAAAATATTGGAATGTAACTGATGCTGAAGATTTGAGAGGAAGATTAAGGCGTGCAATAACTGACCCTATTGTTTATAATTACCAATATTTTTATGGCAATGATTTTCAATCTGGTGGTTCATTGGTTAATATGTCTGCACAATTAACTTTTCTTGCAACAATTTCATCCTATAATAGTGGCGGTTTTAGTCCAGAAAGTGATGTCATATCTTTTGAATCTGATGCACGAGGCAAGATATTTGTTTTATTTTAGTAATTTAAAATATATATATATATATATGTTGGTTGTAATTAAAATTAATACTTTTTTTCTTCTTGACCATAAGGTCAAGCTCTTTTGTCACACATATACTATATTAGCTTACATTTACATCAAAGAAGTGATCTATTCTAAGTTTTTTTATCAATTATACTGCACATACTTTATTAGAAAGAGAGAAAATTATACTGCACATACTTTATTTTAGAGAAAATTTTTAAATAATGTATAAAAAGAACTTTATTTTTATATTTAATTTAAAGTTTTTGTATTTAAGACTTTTTAAAATAGAATTTATAATCTTTTTAGTTCCTGATGCACCATACGGAGTTCAATTTCGAGTTTTTGGTCGATCTGCGCATATAAGTTGGCAGCCTCCACTTAATCCAAATGGATATATAGAACAGTATGAGATTACCTGGGAAAACAGTCAGCTTGAGTTGTTAGGTCTACCTCCAGTGGTTGTTAAAACTGAAAGAATGAGTGTTGATCGTAGGTCTCGTGAGGCATACCTTATTAATATGTTTGTTCCTCTGACATATTATGGTGTGAGAATAAATGCTAGAAATCGAATCGGACCTGGTGGAGATTGGGAAAAGATACTTGTTGCTGTTAGTGAAGATGACAGTAAATATTTTTATTTTAGAAAATATTTAATGAAAACATTTTAAGAACTTATTGTCTATGATGTTTTTTTTGATTTTAGTTCCTGGAAAACCTAATGCTCCAAAAGCAGTTTCTTTTGATGATACTTCAATTAACGTAACATTCCAGTTACCAAATTATGGTGGTTTACCATCAATGTTTTATATTTTTTATCGGCCAAGAGGTTAATGTTACATTTTTTAGTTTTTCAGTTTTAATTTTTTTTTTTATTAGTTATTGATGTTATAAAATTGCTTGTGCTAATAATTTTTGATTTTTAGGTAATTATTTTAAAGAAGTAAAGAATGTTTCACAATTGTTTCCACAGCAGGCTTGGGTTTTAGTTAAAGAACTTCAATTTGTACCTTATGATTTTTGGACAGTTGGTGTAAATTCAATGGGCCAAAGTGAAACTAGTGATGTTACTGAGCAAAGACCAATAAGAGCTTTAAGTATGATATTTACCTGTTATATCTATTTATAGATTTTTGATTAAACAGTTACATTTTTTTTTCTTTTTTCTAGAGCCTGAAGCACATGCATCACAATTTCCGTGGTATCGTAGTAACTGGTTTATTGCAGTTGGTTTATGCTTGCTCTTCATAACTATAACTTTGTTAACACTTATTTTCTTGTTAAGAACTGGTCCAGTTCCTTATAAAAGTAATAATATAAAAGTTTATAAAAGTTATAAAATATAAACTGATACCTTTGGTTATAAAAGCTTTTAAGTACTTAATAGATCTAAAATTTCAAATTTAATTTATTAATACAGCTTAATAAATTTAAAAAATATATATTAGCATTTAATTTCACAAAAATTTGTTAATATTTTTTAATAAAAAAGGTTTGAAAGAAGAATCTGACTACAAAGGTGGTTATCCATCAGGAGGAGCAAAAGCAAAATCAAAGACAAAGGCACCAATAGTTGCAGCTGTTGGCGCAGCAGCATTTTCGTGAGAAATATTTGATATAATGAGATTTGTATAATAATAGCTTATTAAATGTGTTTTTGAATTTATTTTTATATGTATTTTTATAGTGCAGCAGATGATGAAGATAACCCACCACCTCGATATTCTGATCAAGATTCCATTTCAAAGAAATCTCCAGCAACTAGTCGGTCAGGAAGTGAGGGAAGCCGCTCTGGATCTAGTAACCATTTTTAACTTGTTTAATTAGTTTTCATTTTTAATCAAGTTTTGAGAGATTTACCTATTTATCATACATTCATTTTATTAACTAAAGATTAGTAAATAAGATATAGTAGTAAATTAAAACATAAAAAATTAAATGAGACTAGGTTATAAATCATAAATTAATCATAAAAATTATATTAATTAGAGAGTATCACTATTTTTGCAACTTAAAAATGATAAAATTTAAATTTAATTAATATTATGCCTAAAAATATTACCGTTCATAAATATAGGATTAAAATATTACCGTTCATAAATATAGGATTTAAATTTAATTAATATTATGCCTAAGTATATTACCTTTCATAAATATAGGAAGATCTAGATTATTGCGAAAATTAGCTGAAAAAAATTTAGTTTTATCTTATTTAAAGTTCACCAGCCGCTAAGAGCTCCTTGCTGCAGCAGAAATAAGATCTGTTTCAATCTCAATTTCCCCCTCTAAGCAATCAGAGAGTGTTAGCTTCTTATTAAGTCCAAGCAATTGCCTCAATACTATTAATAAACCCTAAGCAGTAACAAAAGGCTCCAAATGTAGCCTCGACAATACACACCAAAAGTATGAATAACACTATCCATGTATTTAGTCAAGAAAATCTAGCATTTAACATCCTAAACTGGAAACAATGTATTATAAATACATTTACGCCAGCCTAATAAATGAAGAAGGGGTGCAAGGCTGGTCGACAGATAGAATCTGTTTACCCCTTAAGTCCTTGACTAGAAGGCCTTCTACAAGACAGTAGCCAAATACATTCATTATCTGCCCAAGATTAGTATTTTTATCAAGACACTATCTCCAGCCTTTACTTGTCCAAGAGCTCCAAGGCAGGGAGTGTTTTAAGTTGAAGTTGGCATTCTCCTAGCCTTTGCCTAAAAAGCATGTTCTACAAGGCAGTAGGGACACAAAGCAGGTTGTACTGGGTTACATGTTACCAATATCAGGATAACCTGGCCTAACATATATATTAAAATTAATATGCTTTGAAGAAAGAAAAAAAGTGAATTAAAAGTACTTGAATTTTTTTTTTTATGAAAGTACAATTTAAACCACTGGATTAATTAACTGGAATAATTTTTCGTAATTAAATAGTATAATTTTAAATTGATTTTATTGTGTGTATAATGATTAATAAAGTTTTAAAAGTTAAGATATATACAGAGAATTTCCAGTATTTTCATACAGAAAATTATTTGCGATATTTTCCAATATCACAAAATCAATCATCTCATTAAACTTAAATAATAACTTTAAAATTTATAGTATTTTATTTGTTATTGCTTTTATTTTTTTTTTGTTGTAAATCAGTTACTTTAGTTGTAATTATAAGTATATTTGCAAGTTTTTAAAGTCAAAATCAAACATTAAGCAGTAAAGCTGATAAAACATTTTTTCTTACTTTGTTAAGTTAAATTTTTGAAGGAACATTTTTTCTCTTGTTCCAACTTGTTTTTATATTTAATTTTTTTACTCTAAATTACAAAATCAATTAAACTTAAATAAAAACTAGAAGGTTTTATTAGAATATTGTCAAATAAGATTTCCACAAGAAACGCTGATAACACATAATAAATTGTTGAATTGTTAAATAATAAATTGTTGAAAAGCACATAAATTTTATGGTATTTTCAAGGAGTCTCATATTTGAAATGCCTAGTTTTTGTGACATTTAAGTAAAGCATATATCAAAAAGTAATATTCATATTACTTATAATTTTTTGTGACATTTAAGTAAAGCATATATCAAAAAGTAACATTCATAAAATGTATATTCACTATACCCTTAATAATGAAACAAGCTAATGATAGCAAATATTTTAAACGTTTGCATGCTACAAAAAACCCTTTATTATCTATGAAATAATTATTTAATTGTTATATATATATATATATATATATATATATATATATATATATATATATATATATATATATATATTTATACCCTAAGAATAGGCCCTTGAGAATTTTTTAAATTTCATATATTTGAGTTAAGACAATTTTATAAAAATATTTATTTCATTAAGCAACTTAATACACAACTTATTACACAACTTTTAAAAAAAAGCTAAAAAATTGGTCAAGCATATCAAGTTAACATATTAAAAACAAACCTTAAAACTTTTTCTAATCTTAGGTTTAGTTTTGCTATATTTACGATTACTTAAGGTAAGAATTGCAGCTGATGATTGAGCTTTAAGCTGATCATAGTAAGATCATAGACTAATCAGCTTCATCTACAATGCAAAGCTGATTGGATTTAATTTAATCAGCTTAAGAGTGAGAGTGATTGTGGAGGAATTACTCCTAAACTACTCTCTTAACAATTTTAAAGATTTTTAATTCTAAAACTAATTTTATTTCAATAGTATAGTAAAGACGAAAGAAAATAAAAAACAAAATTATTAGAAATTTGATAAAAAACAAAGACAAAAGTTTTTTTAATATTTTAACAAAATAAAATCTGATACTAACCCTCTTTTTGTTGGGAAAGCATTGCAAATAACGGTTTTACTGCACTCAGTGCTTAATTGTTTCTCAACAATTCTGAAAGAACTGATTTTCTTTTAAAATACTAAGCAATACATTTAAAGACCAAAAAATAACTTTTTTTTAATGAAAATTTGGTAAAATGATGCAAATTGATTTTTGTAATAATTCTATCAATTTAATAAACATATGCAACATTATAAGTAATTATTTTTTTATTCTTCAATATTTTCTATGTTTGGAATTGTATAAAACAATAAATTTTTATGTATTACTTACTTGCTAAAGCATTTAGGTACAAACATGTAAAATCCCGACTTCTTTTTTTTTTTTTTGTCTATTTTTTTGTTGAAAAACATTGTTTGGTGCACTTGTTGTTATCTTTTCTTTGAAGTCTTATATTGTGCAAATTTTACTTCATTAATATAGTTTTTAAAACTTGAACTAAAAAATTTAAAAGGTGTGAAATAAAATACATTAAAGTCTATTGGAACAATCTCAGCTCTTTCAATATTTGACATTTTACTCGACTTATTTTTGTTTTTTACTTCCGCGTACATACAAATACCATAATGTATTGCTTTATGGGGAAAGGTCCATTGAAAGGTGATTTCAAACCGGAAAAAAACTTCCAGAATGAAAATATTTTGTGTATTGCTAGATTTCAACATACTGTTTTTCCCTTAATAAATATTTACTTTAATATGTTTTTTTCCTTAAAATATATAACAGTGTAAATAAAAAGAGCGAGACGTTTAATTTATTTATAATAATGGCATCATTATTTACAACAGTTACTTTTGCATCAACAACTATTAGCAGCATTTCTGAAATCACACATTCTATAATACATATTTAAGAGCTGAATTTTCAGATTTTCAAAAAGCACCAGAAAATTCGTACTAGCCACACACGATAGTGATAATAAAAGTATCACGCAATAATAATTAAAAAAGGTTTTAAAAATTACACAGAAATTTCATAATAATTAAAAATAATTTTCTAAATGAACTTTAAAATGAGATTATGAAAATAAAAATAAGGTATTGATAATTTTCTGTTTTTTCCTTAATGTGATTTTAAAACGAGTCTTTACCTTCTCTTACCTCCTTCATTATTCTTCAATAAATAAATCTTATACCTTTCTTTTATACACATTTTACATATATATATATATATATATATATATGTATATATATATATATATATATTTATATATATATATAACAATACAGCATTAAAGATTGTTATACCGTTTTTTTTGTTAAAGTAATTTTTTTCAAATATTGTTAAATATTTAGTTTCTCAACTAAAGTTCAACTATAGTTTCTAACTAAACTAACTAAAGCCATGTTCTACTGAGTTCGATATATCATAAGGATTAGTACATATAATATTGCTATGTTAATTAATTTTGTAGGAAGCCAATCTGATGAAGAACTGAGTAAAAGTGAAAGTGAAAGCGGAAGTGAGTATAGCGATGAAGAAAAAGGCTCATATTATAGCGATGAAGAAAAGAAAAAAGATAGTGATGATGATGATGATGATGCTGAAGATACCACGTTTGTTTAGGCTTTGCTCCTTTGACATTTTATTATGAAAAAATAAACAAATCTTTGTGCTGTTTCAGGCGCAGATAATTTCTCTTTTTAAATTATCTATTGAAAAGACATTATTTATCGTTTATGATTTCGAACTTTATCAAAAATGAACAATATGCATGTTTCATATCTCAATTATTTAAGATTTATATTTTATACATTAGTAATTAGTAATTTTTTTTAATTCTTCAATCAATTTTTAAAGTTTTTTTTTTTTTTTTTTTGTATGTTTGATATGAATGTAAAAAGGTGGTTGAACTATGTATTTATGTTTTTTTATTTACCTGGGGGTATTCAACTGTATTTTATACTTTGTTAAAATATTTGTAAGATAATTTGTTTGGAAAATGATTTTAATGGATTTATAAATTTAATGTGGCTTTGTGTTTTCTACTAATTTTTCTAACATTATTTCTATATGCTTAAAGCCTGATTTAATGCGTCCCCTTTTATAATAAAAAAGGAGACACATTAATTTTTTAACCTGTGTGTTTTAATTTAATGGGGTTCAAATCTGAAATTTTTTTGTTCCGAATTCTTATAGGATCCTATAGGACTTTTTGACTAGGGCCAGCAATTAATCTATCCAGTCAGGTATCACTTCATATAACTCTTGTCATTTTATCGCAAAGATTCTGAGATGCTCAAATGTTCTTTTCGTATCTAAAAGAATTTTGATCTTAACTGTTACAATGCTTACCCTCCACACTGGCAAACACACTTCCTCCTCCTCCTCCTAAAAAAAATCTTTAATAAACCACCACATTGACTTGTTGGTTTTTGATCTAATATACTTATATTTGTTAAGTCTGAATAAATATGAATCCAAAGAAACTATCAGATCTTTTTACTTAACAACTTTACAAGTTAAAAAAACCCTTTCTCCGTTACAATTTGTCACAGCAACAGAGAGAAACATCCTTACAACAACACTTAAACTATAGACTTATATAAGTTTTGTGGCGTTCGATTTGATTACTGTTGCAATCACATTGCACGTCTAAGAACTTTAGTAAACTTATCTAAATAATGCGAGTAACATGGACATTAATTTTCCAAATCAATATCCGTGTTAAAGTAAATTATGGATCATCCAACATCTCTTTCTCCAACATGTATACAAGGAAACGACTTGTTTTTTTTTTTTTTTAAATAGACTCATGATTTAAAAACACGATATAAAGAGTAAATTGTGATTTTCTTTTTTTAATTCTCATATTTTGTTAGCTAAGTTTAGAGAGGCTAGCTAGCTGGCCTCTCTAAACGCCCTGGCCCCGCAGCGGCTACCAAGCATGGACATGGGTAAAGACTGCATTAAACTGTAAAAGTAAGAGTGTAAAAAACTGTAAGAATATTTCAGTATTTAGTTTTTCTCAAGATGAAAAAAATAGCTAAATAGGAGAAGTTATTAGTTAAATAAACATTTTTATATCCTATTTTGATTCTCAAAGAGCATTGCTGCGGCAAGTTATAATCAGAAAACAATGTCAAAACAATCATCGGTCCTTGGGCCAATGTCTTTTCCCTCTTAGCTGAAAAATGCACCTCCTACGTAATCTCCTGGATTCAGGCAGGAAAGGATACTTTATTCCTTCTCGTCGGTTTCAAGTCAAGTCTCATTCTACTCCATTGTATTCACCCTCTTGTGCAGCTGCTATATCTAATCGAAATCATTTTTTTTATCTTAAATTTAAAAGAACAACTCTCTTGAGAACAAATGGCTCTTTATTATTGCTAGAAATTGACGTAAAAAGGTGTTGTCAGATGCTAAGCTTCATTTTTCTCAATTCACTAAAACTCGCATCTTATCTCAGAAGTTAGGCTCTAGAGACACTTTTGAAAAATCTTCAACAGCGTTGTTAACAAAGGTAGGTTTAACATTCCATCTCTCATTCATGGTACTGATCTTACTACCTCTCCCAAAGATAAGGCAAAACAATTTGCAAAGAACTTCTTTTCTAGTTCGGTTCTTGAATCTTATGACCCTTCTCTTCCTTTCATTCCATAATAAACAGATAAACCCTTTATTAGACATTCAAATCACTACAGTTTCCGTTGCTAAAGTCATGTCTCGATTAAACTTTTCAACGGATTTTGGTTCAGACCTGAAACATTCCTGTCACAGTCTTACAAAATTTTTCTCCAGAACTCTCTTCAATTCTCTCTAAACTATTTAATAAGTGCTTATCAAAGTCTTGTTTTCCTGCCTGCTGGAAAATGACATCTATTATTCCAATTTTCAAAAACTCTGGTGAACATTCTGAACCCTCCAATTATCTTCCAATCAGTCTTCTTTTTGTTATTAGCAAGGTCTTTGAGTGTTTGATAAACAAATTTCTCACATACCATTTGTTGTGTTTACTATTTTAAATATATATCTACTAACTCTTATTTTATTTGTATTTAAGATTTATTATAACAACATACATATTTACAACTAGTATTATATAAACAAACATAACTCACTACAATATCTTTCCAACTAACGCACGAGTTCTAATGCGTTCCGCATGAACGCACTCTTAACCATCATAATGTTATATATATATATATATATATATATATATATATATATATATATATATATATATATATATATATATATATATATATATATATATATATATATATATATATTATATATATAATATGTTTTGATGTTCTTGGCAAAAATGATTGTTTGTAAGTTAAGTGCTGCGGTATTTCCATCCATGTTGGACACTGACAGCTTTAATTACAAAAAAGAAGAAATAAAAAGTTTAGCTAAAGTTTTTAGCTCAAGGTATTCATTATAAAACTAATTATTACCTTTTATTGCTGGTTTTGCTTCTTTGATAATGAATAGTTTTTTTTTAGACCTTAATGTTCTTTCACTCTCTATTTTCTGACCCTGCTCTTTTTCTTTACACATATTTAAATTAATTAACTTTTACTAAATTAAAAAATCAAATTTAAAATAATTATTGAAAACAATTGTTATTGCAGCAAAAAGTACCGTTGAATTGCTCTTTGAGCTACTATAGCCAGGGTCTCGTCAAATTCCCACCTCATAGAAATTACTAAATTTTATTTTAGATTTACATTATTATTTTAAAAATATTAAAAGTAAATATTCTGGACAATTAGTTTTAATCTTTTGTTAATAACATAAATGCGGAAAGTTTATAATCATATATTGTAATTTTATCAATTCAAAATACAAAAATAAAAATATTTTTTTAAAAAAAATTATGATACCATGTTTTTTTACTTAAATTTATAGATAAAAATAAACAACCGAAAAAAAAAAATTTCAAATTTTTGTAATTAAACTTCTCTTTTGGACCTGTGAAATCAACGATTTTTGAAGGTTTTTAAAAACTTTTTTTCTAAAAGTGTGCTTAAAAATGGTCCTGTTGAATTCAAATTTTTTTGGAAGTTATTTTTTTAATATTTGCCCTAAATCTAGAGTGTATGATATTTTAGATTGGAAAATTTCCTCAAATTGACTACCCCTAATATATATATATATATATATATATATATATATATATATATATATATATATATATATATATATATATATATATATATATATATATATATATATATATATAAATATATATATATATATATATATATATATATATATATATATATATATATATATTATATTATATATATATATATATATATATATATATATATATATATATATATATATATTATACATATATATATATATATATATATATATATTATACATATATATATATATATATATATATATATATATATATATATATATATATATATATATATATATATATATATATATATATAATACATATATATATATATTATATATTATATATATATATATATATATATATATATATATATATATATATATATGTATATATATATATATATATATATATATATATATATATATATATATATATATATATATATATAAATGTAAAGGAAGTAAAATATTCTAAGCTAAAAGACATTAATTTTACATCGGCAACAAACATGAAAAGAATTCTTGATAGTAAATTATCTCAGACACCTGTTAGACAATATCAATTGCTGCCTCTTCCGTTTGTAGAACCACCCAACGCTACGGAAATGAACAATTTTTTTCAAATTCTGCATGACACTGGTGTTAAACCAAGTATTCTGTCAATAGTACCTGTCTTTGTTGAATCTTACGTTCCTAGGTTTTCATCTTCCTTGTACTACATCAGTTGGTGAAGCCGCTATTTCCACTGCAATGGTTACTGAAGACATTGATTTCAACATTGGATAATTCTGTTTTTGTCAAACACCCTCTATATATATATATATATATATATATATATATATATATATATATATATATATATATATATATATATATATATATATATATATATATATATATATATATATATATATATATATATATATATATATATATATATATATATATATAATATATAATATATATATATATATATATATATATATATATATATATATATATATATATATATATATATATATATAATATATATATATATATATATATATATATATATATATATAATATATATATATATATATAAAAAGTTAAAAAAAAAACAACCCATAAAAATATCTAAAGGCAACAATAACAACAAAGAAAAGAAGAAATTTAAGAAAAGAAGTTAAAAGTAATTTAAAAGAAAAAAACTAAAACTAAGAAAAAAAACAATTTTTCACATTAATATAAGATAATTATAAGTTATATTCACAAATATTATATAATTTACAAAAATATTTAATTGATTTTACATAATTTCCGTATTAATGAAAAGGTACGATTGATTTGCAGCAATTGGTAAGAGCACAACTTACTGTAACAATTTTGTCCACAGTTGGTATATTGTCGGCCTCACACATCAAAAAGTCGACTGGTAAGATTTCCTTCAATATAGTGTATTTGTTTCTGGCAAGTCCAATCACTCTTTCTACGTTGACCCTCGATCGGGCAATTTTTCTAGTACTTTCGACATCAACAGCTGATAGCTGCTTCTTTCCTTTTGTAAATGGAATTTTAACCTCAGCACACATAAGACCAACAGAGTCGGCTATGTTAAAGCCTCGGTCAGCAAGCACTACATCCCCAGGGTTGAGCTTCTCAAGGAGTCCACATTGTTCGGTGATAAGCTTTTCGCTAGTTCTCCCACCCCATCCTTGGGAAATGAAAGAAATAACGCCTTGTGGAACAATGCCAATCAAATATTTTACGGTGTTATGACTTTTATAGTTGCTCCATGTCTGCGCTCTAGCCATAAGATTTGAGGGTCTTTCAATAAAAATTTCAAAACAGTCTATGATGACAGCTATCTTAAGCCCAAAGTGTTGTCTGTACGATAATGGCATAGATTGTTGTAACTCTTTTCTTTCTGGCCAGTAAATCAGAGGTTTCATACGAACATATAGTATGTGCAAAATATTCTTGAAAGTTTTTGAAGCAACGGAATAGGAAATGTCAAATCGAAATGCTAAGTCTTGTATTGGGGTTCCAAGACGAAGCTCCATTAGCGCAAGAATTAATTTTTGGAACTTAGATAGTCGCGAACGCGCTGTTAACGAAATATATGCTTCGACATGCTGAAACACAGCTAATAGCACTTTACGACAGGGCAAGCCTGTGTAATAAAGAACTTTATCATCATCGGTAAATGACTCAACTGTTACTTCAAACGAGAGGAGCTTCTTCTTTAACTTAATGTTCTCACTTAGAACTCGTCTATAATCTTGCATCAGGAATTCACTTTCATTATTTTGCGCTGAGAGACTATCATCAATCGTCAGGAATTCGACTTCATTACTTTGCTTTTTATAAACAGGACCTTTCAACAAAAAAGTGCATATTTTACGTTTTGCATTAAAATCGCTGATTGAAACCTCGCTAACTGTTTCACTAGCAGCTCCCTCTGCAAAATGTAGCAAATCCTCTGCGGCAGTATACATGGTCTTTTTTTCAGCTCTAATTTGCGCTCGAGAATATCTGAAAGTGACATAAATCTGTAAGTCAATGTTGAAGTTCAACGGTCGGCAACAAAGTTGTCATAAGAGACTGAGGACTAAAATTTTGCTTAAAGCGTCACTTTATTTACTTTAAAATTCCATTAAATATTTACTTATTCAAAATGCACTTTTGAAAAATGACAGTGCAATCTTTTATAACAGCGTAATTTTTTACTTAGGATACGCAACACAACTTCAGTCAACCAACTTATAAAGGACTTACCTTGCAACTTTTAAAGTTCTGTGGAGAGTAAAGGTGTCTGTCTTTTTATCTTGTGGTTGCCTTACTGATGCAGACAATAATAAACTAGGAACCCAGTCAGGACTGGTGACGTCATATAATGCAGCTGGTTTACCTATAAATATGGCGTATATATTAAAAACATATATAGTGTACATAATTACATCTTTGCAAGTAACGTAATATGGCAGAACTCTATCAATTTCATACCCGAATTAAAGTGAGCAGAGCATATTTTCGAGAACTTGGTTGGTTTTTTTTGTCTATTAACTGCTGCAATCCACTCGCAGCGCCTCTTAGCTGACAACTCTAGCGTTTTATTATCTTGATGTTTTATAACAGCGGGGAAGCTATGGAAAGACATCTTGTCACGGTCAGCTCTACTTGAGCAACCGTTAACAAAACAAGTACTTGGCATAGTTTTGCTGTTGAAGATGAAATAATTTATTTAAGGTAGTTTCTATGGCAAAAAAAAAAACAATATTTTTACACACGTTTGAAAACTATCTTTTTTACAATGTATAATGAAAATAAATTAACTTTCTATAATTAAAAAATCTCTTTAATTTAAACTTATTTTTACATACAAAATTCGAATTAGAGAGATTGTACTGTGTATAGTATTATGTACAAAATTCTAAAATAGTAAACAAACTTCCAGTTGTTTACATAAGTTAAAGTTTAAATTTAAAAGTTTGATCAGAAGTAGTGTTTTTAAAATGAATCGTTCTTTACATCCAATTCTGCTGCAAATAAAAGTATATGTATAGTGATCATCCAGGTCATTTTTTAAAAATCCGGAAAATATAGTTTATGTAAAATATCCGGAACATATTTTCCCTTACTATTCTCCTAATTTTGCTCTCAGCTGGTAGGTTTCAGAATTTTTATAGACATTTTTGACATTTTTTTAAATGGCTGATCACTGAAAACGAAAATTTTATATACATTAAAACAAATATTATATAAACTTGAATGTACGAGAAAACATTTTGGATATCCGGAAAAACTATATTTTGAGAAAAATATCCGGAATTCCGGAAATATCCGGAAAAAGATATTCCCTGTATGTAGTAAACAAAATTGATTGAAAGATCTGCATTAGCTCTAGTAATAGTACAAAATTCTAAAAAAAGTTGTAATGTATATTCTTTTAAATGTGCTGATACACCATTTTTGTGTCAATTTGAGCATATTTTCAAGGTGTATTTAAAAAGTGATTTCTTAAAAATTCAGATAACTTAAAACGTTCAGAATCATGTTTGTTTATAGTATCAACACAAGGTTGTGTTTTTAAGTCTTTATCGAGACACATTATTAAGTTCCAGTTGTTTACAGTAATCAATAAAACTTTTAAGCCCATCGTCAAATTTAACAAAATCAGAAAAAAACTGCACATGTCCAACACACTTTACTTTCAGTGGTAATATATTTAATTGTACATAAGGTACACAACTTACAACATCTTTAAATGACAAAGTCATTTTTTCTGAGAAACTCATTGTACTCTAATCAATGAATTGAAATGGATCTTCTAAATACGATAACAGCCTGGTTGAATGGATACATGTATTCTTTGTAAATGTTTTATTATTTACAAATCAATTAGGTATTTACTAGTACTACTTATAGAAGTCCTTGAAATGTTATAAATTATTTCAGAAAACTTTAGAATTTGATTCCTGTCCACTACTTCCTACTTCTCTTAGAGCTAATGCAGATCTTTCAATCAATTTTGTTTACTACATATACTTTTATTTGCAGCAGAGTTGGATGTAAAGAACGATTCATTTTAAAAACACTACTTCTGATCAAACTTTTAAATTTAAACTTTAACTTATGAGCAGCACCCATGTGATATGTTAATTTGTCAATAAAAAGTCTATGCTTTATGGAAAATATTCTTGACATGACAGCAAAAAGGTAGACATATATTTTCAACAATATTAATAAAATTATAATCATTTGGGTCCTCTCGACTTGTTTATGTTTTTTGCACGAGTGTTGATTGCCTCTAAAATGAAAAATTCTGCTAAGTTGGTGGTTTCACTTGTTGCCAATTATTATTGTTATTATTAAATACTTTGAAGATACTAAATCAATTTAATAAGTAATTCAGCATATTATTTATATACATAGAATTTTTATATATTAAAACAATTTAATAATTTATTTAGCATGCTTAAAATAATTTATTTAGCATGCTTAATCAACTAAAATGTGTTCACTGTGTCTGAGTTATATAAGTTAGCAAATTATATATTATATAAAATAATATAATGCGTTATAATACTTAGTAGAAGATATTAAAACAAATGTAAAACACAAATAATCAAGTTTATTTTTGAATGCTTTAGAGTGCATTATGTACAGTTTACTAATACAGTTACTAATTTACAAATACAGTTACTAATAACACACTTACTAATAATACTAATAATACTAATTTACAAATACAGTTACTAATAACACACTTTTGAAAACAAGTTACTTTATTTAGAGTTTTATTTTAAGGAAAAATAAATTAATTATATCGTGAGATAGAGAATTAAATTCTCCATAAATTTACCCAAAAAAAATCTTAAAAAATCTATCTACAATAAGGTATGCTATCTAAATAATTGCAATTAAATACATTATGCTAATAAACACTCGCATTGTTTATTTTATTTGCCATACAATATGGCGACCGCGAATTTTAACGTCACGTGATAGAACACTATCCATATACATTTTTAAATAAAGCAACTTTTCTGATAAATCTAATACTGCATGTGGACCGAGACGTACCTTTAGTTAACCAATACACAAATTTGCGCATAATGCCCAGGCATGATAAATGCATATAATCACCTGGGACTTGTGATATCAAACCAATAGAGGTTTGAGCTGAGGGCTCACACAAATGTGATGCTTACGATCTGACAAAACTTTATTATTCACGACGTAGCGATACGCGACAAATTTTATGCAGGTATACGGGCTAATGTTTCCGTCGGGAGTATTTCTCCCCTTCGTAAAATTCCGATCTGACATATTAGCGAATGATACACCTGTTCTTAATGTTGCAGCAGTTTCAGGAAAAGTTACTTTTCCATTATATACACCATGCTGCTCACATTTATCACAGCCATCATATGCATTATGACCTTTAGTGCATTTTACAAATGCTCTTGCTGGGGTGTCACAAATAATTGCAGCAATTCTAAATAAATAGTGTGATACCATTTTTGCAACGGCTGTTTCAGAATGGACATACGGCTTCTTGTTATTTTTTGAAAATAATTACTTAGGGGGTGTTACTAAAACTTTCATAACTTTTGAAATATTAAAGATAATTACGTTCTGTAAAAAGAATATGAACACCGACTAAATGTTTTATATTTTATCATTCAATATAATAATGCAAGGCTGCTCTGATTTTTAAAATTAACACGCAAAATGACGAACTTGGCAGAATTTCAAAATTTTAATGGTACTTTTTAGTAAAAATAATCAAAAAAAATATGTTTCTGTTGACTAATATGTATAATAAACATAGTTAGACCAATTATAAAACATATTAACATTATTTACTGCGAATGCGAACTGATACAGGCACTACAATAAGCGAAATAAAAAAATCACAAAATTTTTTTTATTTTTGCTTTCGGTCGTAGGATAATTTCCTGATATTTAGATCAATATTACAATATTAATACTTTTCTGTAGAAAAATAATACATTTTTTATAAATATACATAACAATATATGCAATTTAAATAATTTGATAACTCGTTTTGATAACTCGTTTTGGTGGATTTACATATAGCTTTTTTTAAGGTAATATATATATATATGTTCTATAAGTAGAAAACGATCTTTGCATGCAATTGATACTAGTTTTATTTCATTCCATATGAAAAATACTCTTCATAATCTTACTGACTTAAATGTTAAATGTTGGCGCTTCATGCTTTTTCTGGAGTCATTCAACAATTTATGATGGTTCGTATTAGTTGTCGTTTATTCTTGAATGAAAATTTTCTTTATGATCAGACTGAAACAAACTGTTGTATAACTGCAGAGGCTTATTAGAATCATTTATTTTGTGGATTCTCAAGTAAATGATTTGTTCTTAAGGTAGTGTAAACACTCTTTGTACACGCAGTTAGTATAAACACTCTTTGTACACGCACTATCATAATATTGTATCCCATTATTTAACATTCAAAAAACAGTTTAGAAAACATTTAGAAAACATTCAAAACTTATCTGCGCACATTCCTAAACACAAAAAATATATTGCAAAAGCATGTTTACGTAGTTGGGGATATCAACATTGACTTACTCAACCATGCCTTAAATAGTGAAGCAAAAACTTTTATTGATATTCTTCTCGAATACAACCTTATCCCAACTATAAACAAAGCAACAAGAGTAACTAAAAAATCATCGACATTATTAGATAATGTTATAACTAACAATTTTCATAATAGCCGTTTAAAAACTGGTATAATAAAGACTGATGTAACTGATCATTTCCCTATATTCTTTATAACTGAGAGCGTCACTCTAAATAATGCTACCTACAAATCAACAGTATTCATGAGACAAATCAATGAAAGTTCCATATGCCAATTTAAAAATTTATTAAATAATTACGTCGATTGGAATCTTATACTGCAATCACACGATGTAAATAATGCTTATGATTTATTTCTAAACCAATTTTCTAAAATGTATGATAAGGCATTTCCTCTAAAAGTGAAAGTAATAAACTCAAAGTCGGTTGTATCCCCATGGATGAGCAAAGGCCTACTAAAATTATCAAGGAAAAAACAAAAATTGTATAACAAATATTTAAAAAATAAAACTTATAAAAATGAAACTATTTACAAAAATTATAAAAGTTTATTTGAAAAAACTAAAAAACGATCAAAAATAAATTACTATGCTAAGCTGCTTGAAAAAAACGAAGGAAACCTTCAAACGTGGAGTGTTATTAGAGACTTAATTGGGAAAAATAAAATAGAAAAAAATAACTTACCGCAAAAACTTATTATTGAGGGAAAAATTATTTATCATAAAGAAGTTATTATTGAGAAATTAAACAATTTTTTTCTTGATGTTGGCCCAAACCTAGCAGCGAAAATTCCAGTCAGTCAAAAAAAATTTGATTCATATCTTGCAGCAACTGATTTAATTATGGAAGAACCGACTTTAACCAAAAGTGAACTACATAATGCTTTTAGTAGTCTGAAAAAAAATAAAAGTGCAGGTATTGATCAAATAAATGTTAATGTAATCAAATCTGTTTTTGATATTATCGAACCCTCATTATTCCATATTTTTAATCTTTCCCTTAAATCAGATCTTATTCCAGATAAACAAAAAATTGCAAAAATAACACCTATTTTCAAATCTGGCAAAGAGACCAATATTTCAAACTACAGACCAATTTCAGTCTTACCCTGCTTTTCTAAACTAATTGAACGCATTATGTACAACAGACTTTATAAATATCTATCTGAAAATAAAATTTTATATAATAATCAATACGGTTTTAAAAAAAATCATTCTAGTGACCATGCAATAATTGAATTGGTTAAGCATATATCAAATGGATTTAATAGTGATTGCTATACAATAGGGGTTTTTATTGATTTATCCAAAGCTTTCGACACAGTAAATCATGAAATTCTTTTAAAAAAATTAGAAAACTATGGTGTTAAAAATCAAAGTTTACTTTGGTTTAAATCATACTTAACTAACAGAAAGCAATTTATACTTAAAGAATCAAAAGACTCAAAAAACAACTTAATAACTTGTGGAGTACCCGAAGGTTCTATTTTGGGACCATTATTGTTTTTACTTTATATAAATGACTTATATTTATCATCAAAAGTATTAAATATTATCTTATTTGCAGATGACACTAATTTGTTTTGTTCTCACAAAGATATTACTGT